CATCAAAGCAAGTGCAACGAGAGTTGACAGAGCTATCGACATAGGAAGAACGAACTTGTGATTTTTTGTGGATGCTGAAGAAAAGCAACTTGGCAGCTCTTGTATTGCAACATTGGCACAAAGGTGTGGATTTCCTTGGACAAAAATACCACCTGTGTTAGCAAACACTCCACTGGTGGGAACTGGTCCTTCCAAGTTGTTGAAGGACATATTCAAATACTGCAACGAGGTGAAGGTCTCGAGGAACTCCGGAATTGTACCAGATAGGTTGTTGTGGGAGAAATCTAACACTTGCATGCCTTTGAGGCTTGCTAGTGATTGCGGAATGCTTCCTTGCAGGAGGTTCCCTTCTACACGAAGCGCTTCCAACCGGACACATGCACCGAGTGTGGATGGGATTCTGCCCATGAGATTGTTGTGAGAGATGTTCAAGGAACCAAGGTTTACCAAGCTACCCATATCTAGTGGTATGAACATTGTGAGTTGGTTGTGGGATAAATCTAGTAACAAACTCAGTTGACTCAACCTGCTCAACATATGCCCGCTCATGCTTCCACCAAGGGCATTACAGGAAAGGTTTAGTGCCAACAACTTCTGGCAGCTTCCTAAACTTTCAGGGATGCTTCCACTCAATTGATTTTCTTGCAAATAAAGTTGTTCTAGTTTATTTAAGTTGCCAATGGAAGGTGGAATATCTCCAGAAAATTTGTTCTGTGACAGGCTAAGCTCAACCAAGTTGCGTAGCTGACCAATGGTAGAAGGTATAGACCCCATCAAAAGATTAGTATTAAGATAGAGCATGGAAAGGCTTGAGAGGTTTCCAATCTCCAAGGGGATGGTGCCAGAGATGTCGTTTGACCGGAGAGTCAGAGCAGTCAAGCTCTTGGGAAGATTTGCTATGGAATTTGCTGGTAAATCCCCGCGCAAGTTGTTGTCACCTACATTAAGTTTCAGCAGCTGTGTACAATTCGCCAAAGAGGAGAAGAATGTCCAGTCTCCAGCCTCTAGGTGATTTGCGTACAACATTACATACTTCAAACTTGGCATGGAGCTGAAAGAAGGAACCACCCCAGTTAGAGAATTGTTGGCTAGATGGATATACACCATGCCAGAGGCATTTTGTAGTGAGGCAGGGATGTCTCCCTCAAAATGATTATCAGCCATGCTCAGTGTTTGGAGGTTAGGAAGCGTGTTACCCATATCAAAAGGCAGTGTTCCTCCAAGGTTATTGCTTGTCAGTCTAAGAACGTTCAATGAAGACAGATTGTAAATGGAGGGTGGCACTATGCCTGACAGACTATTATAGGAGAGACCGAGTCTTTGTAGCCCTGCAAGTCTACCCAAATCTGGAATGGATCCTTGCAACTGGTTGTGCGAGAGGTCGAGTGAGGTAAGGGACGAGAGGTTTGCCACCGACGATGGCACGGGTCCGGAAAGACTGTTTTGGGAGAGATCTAGGTAGGTGAGTTTTGAAGGGAACATGATGAAAGGTGGAATTGCACCAGAAAGATTGTTGTGCGAAAGGTGTATCTCCATGATGATTGAGTTGTTGAACAGGGACGAAGGGATAGCCCCTTGAATGCTGTTGTTGTCAAGAGAAATGTAACGGAGGGAGGAACTATTTGCTAGTGATTGTGGGATTTCTCCGTATAGAAGATTGTTGGGGAGGTTGACAAACTCTGTCGCCGGGGAGCTCCCGAGCAGCGGCGGAATCTTGCCGGAAAACCGATTGTTGCCTAAGTCTAGAGACGAAAGGTTGCGAAGGTTACCAAGGCTGAAAGGGATGGTGCCACCGAGGATGTTGAAGCTGAGGTTGAGATACCGGAGCCCGGAGAGACGGCCAAGTTCCGGCGGGATATGGCCGGAGATCTGGTTGTTGGGCAAGTGGATCCTTACCAGGGAAGTGAGGTTGGAGATGCAGGGCGGGATCTCACCGGCGAGGCCTTCCTCCTCAATATCCAAGGCCACCAGCAGGGGTTGTTGCCCTGTCTTTGTTGTGCATGTGACGCCGTGCCAATTGCAGAAATCTGGTGAGGTGTCGTCGTTCCAAGTGGCGAAAGCTCGGGTGGGGCTGTGGAGGCGGGACTTGAGGCAGAGCAGAGCATCTCTGGTTGTATTGGTGCTGTAATCAGCTAGTGTTGCAGTTGCAGATGACATGGGGTTCAAAGCTGCTCGTGACAAGAGGAGGATGGCTAACAGTAAAAACAGAGGACTAGGAGTAGGAGTATGCACAGATGCCCAGACCATGGTGTTGGTACGTAAGGTGGATATATCAATGAATTTTTCGGCTGTGCGTTGATACTCTGTGATATGTGCTGCTTTTATAGACTCGAGCCTGTGCGAGTCGTCTTCCAGCTAGCGCGGTCAAAACCAGGCTTTGCTTGCCAGGTCCAACAAATTGAAGAAACGTTTTTTTTTTGTTTTGAATACAGTACAGACACACGCGCTTATACATACGCGCACACACTCACCTCAATTTATGCTCACACGCACACCTTATCCCTATGAGTACCTTCGAGAGACTGACGTGAAAGCTTGTTGGCTTGTCTTCACCAAAAATCATGATATTACCCGTCCAAGCGGATGAGTTATGGTTAGTGCATGAAAAAATTGCAATGACCTTCGTTTTTAACCGGACGAAAGTTTCAACTAGTATTATGCATGTCATCTACAAACTCATCTTCAGGATCCATACATGTTCCTTTCTGCGCCGACACGAGGACCGGACCTCCATAGTCGCCTGGGGTTTATTTAACAAATTTAGGTGGCAGCCTAATAATAAAAGAGTAAAATCATCAATAATACTTGAACTTGTCCCGTGAGCTCACTTAGATCATCGTACATAAGAAGTTGGTCAATACTGTCACTAGGTACAAGTCTAGGTGATTATTCCATGTTGACCGGTCAAACATGACAGCCACTCACCCGGCATATAGAGTAGTTTCGTATTTTTCCATGTTGACCGGCCTTACTTCCTCCGTCCGAATTTATTAGGCCCCCTTTTGTTTTGAGCTAAAGTTTGACCATGAATTTAAATAATAATATATAAACTACATGTCACAAAAATTATGTTAAAAAACCTCTTTCAAATACAAATCCAACAATATACTTTTTGTAGCATATAATTTATGTATTTTTAGTCAAATACATGGTCAAAGTTGGACCCAAAATACAATGAGGCCTAATAAACCGGGACAGAGGTAGTACATATCTGCCCATGGGCCGGGCCAGGCCGGGCTTCGGCCCAGGCCCCATCAAGCCCTAGGTCTGTTTCCTAGGCCCAGGCCCTCCCAGGCCCATGAAAATACCATGTTTCCCAGGCCCAGGCCCTCCCAACACAGAAAGCCCGAAAGCCCTAAGCCCTCCCAAAGGCCCTCGACGTTGTAACATCAAAACAGCACCGCAAATAGCACCAAAACAGCAAATAGTATCTTATAAAGTCTTAAAGACAACAACAGCACCAAGATAGCAGCACAGCAGCACCAAAAGTGCATAAAGAGAAGCACAACAGCACCAAAACAGCAGCACATCAGCACCAAAACAGCACTAAAGAGCATTGTTTTCACATCAAATAGTATAAAAAATTCCAGTTTCGAGTTTCTAGAAACACAAATGCATAAATGTATTATTACATGCCAGATGGCCAATTCATAGAACCAAAAATAAGGACCAGTAGCTGCTAGTTGCCATCTCGACATGCCTTCTCCGAATCTTCTACTCATCTCAGTGCTCTAGCAAGAACTCTACAAAATGAAATCTCTACTCCTAATGGACGAATTGGTTGAATAGTCCCCCCCACTTTCAACCGGTTTATTTTCAACCGGTTTTTCTTCGTCCCACCTCCCACCACCCCCCTCCCACCGGTTTTTCTCTTTCTCGTCTGCCCGACAATACCCAATGTATTTATGGTAATCAATCACAATTAATCCACGTATGGTAAGGCTATAAACTTAGAAATCTCAAATATGATAATTATAGTAATAAATCAATCCATGTATGGTAAGGCTATAACTAAGGAAATTTCGAATATGATAATTATTACTAGAATCAAAGCTTTCCAAAAAAGTTCTTCTTGCCATACCCTAATCATGACCTCTTCATCCTGAGGCATTATTTCCATCTATTTCTCAGCTGAATCAGAACTTTCCAAAACTTTGTCTGATTAAATCACAATTTTCCTTCCTTCCCTATCATCTCAATCGAATCATCTCTACTCCTAATGTCTCAGTACGTAAGTCGTTCGTTCGTTTCGTTCGTTTCCAGCCTTCCAACGATCTCCCCCCACCAGGCGATCTCCCTCCCACCGATTTTTTCCTCTCTCCAAAAACCAAGACCGGTTTTCATTCATGCATCACTAGAACCACACGCCCCATGCCTAGAAAAACCAAATGAACCATTCCATCCTTCCATCGATCCCACCCTTCCATATAAAACACTAATCGTTCCATCCTTCCCTTCCATATACCAGAGGGATCAAATCATATCGAATATTTTTATAACAAAAAGCTTCCATAAACACCAATCTTTCCATCCTCCCCTCCCACGATTCTTTCCATGCAGATGCTCCCTCCCGCATTCGTTTATTTCCTTCCAATTATACCAGGATTTTTTTCCAGCTTCTGTTCCTCAGAAAATTTCTCACGATCAAGGCCCCTGCCCTTCCTTATCTACCCACAAATCTCGTGCCCCTCTCCCAGGTCAGGTTCCGGAGCCGGGTCGTCGCCGCGGAGTACGTCGATGCGGAGCCGGAGGGCGCGGCGGACCGGTGGGAGAGGTGGAACGGCAACGGCGAGGCCTTCGGCGACGGCTCGGGCGTGTGGCGCCTCACTGTGGGCGACCGCGGCACCGGCGAGGAGGAGCCGGAGACGGAGGAGGTGCATGAGTCCGACTTCCTGATCCTCTGCATCGGCAGTTTCAGCGGCGTGCCCAACATCCCAGCGGTGTCCCCAGGCCCGGAGGCGTTCCGCGGGCGGGTGCTCCACTGCATGCAGCTCTCCCACATGGCCGACGAGGACGCCGCCGCGCTGGTTAAGGGGAAGCGCATCACCGTCGTGGGGTCCGGCAAGTCAGCCTTCGAGATCGCCGCCGAGTGCGCCGACGCCAATGGCGCGGGGACGCCGTGCACGATGCTGTGCCAGAACCCTCATTGGCTGCTACTATCGGGTACCTCTACATGAACCAAAGAACGCATTTTATTGTAACTGTTAGTCTGCTATATCCACGAGCTCACTGACGCCAGACCAGCAAGCAGCCCAGATTGAACGGCACTGAGCTCCAAATTCAACCGATTATATAATGCGCCACCCCCACATGATCCGCTACCATATCAATGATTGTGTATCTGTATTTATTTATCTACAAATCGTTGTACTGTTGTGCTTTTGTTAAGCAGATACATGCATGGCAGGGGGAAGTTGAGCGAGCATGGCAAAGCCAAAGATATATTCCTTGGAGCTACCATTTAATTCATAAGATGTCAAGTAATAGCTTGAAGTTTAGGTGATAAAAATGCTAATATGATGATCAGGTCAGGTATAATATCACAGAAAATGTAAAAAAAATATCATTGGAGTTGTTTTCATTATAGTAATCAGAATGCTTTGTCTTGCACCATTATTTGTTGAACATCTTTATTTGTAGGATGTAGGCTGAGTTTCAGAAGATGAGAGTTGAAATGGCTGGAATGAGAACAAAAAAAAATGGCAGCTTGGTCTTTACAATTGCAGTTTCAATTCCTTATTTGAGTCTAACTCAGGTGTTCCATAGACTTTCCAAAATATCTATTTTTGAACCTTATTGAAGTTGGCCTCTTACTGAGGAAAAAAGTCTACGAATGGATCATCTGAAAAACAAGACGTTACAGTTCCTTAAAATTAAAAGTGAAATTGCTTGCCAAATACAGTAACAGGTAAGTCCAATATTTGTTGGAATGATATAACGTATGCCAGGTGAATATTTGTAGAGTTACCTGTTAGGGTTCTGTTTAGTCTGTTAAGTTTCCCTCTAATTTTTTTTATTGCTTAGCTAGGGTAGATATTTTTAGTCTGTTATGTTTTCCTTGATTTTTAATTTTTTTTGCTTAGCTAGGTTAGATATTTGTTTCCAGGTGTTACAACATGGCTTAGCACCTACTACATCAACGTTTCTCTGCTCCAATTCTTACCGTCCCACATCTCAAAGAATTTGTGTGGTAGTCCCTATCATGAAAAAAAGTAGAACAATTTCTAGCTTTCATGTGCATTTGTTTATGCTGTAATGTTTAAGAATGAAGCATTGATCAAGGCCCCACAAAGGTGAAGTAGTGATATCGTGATGTTCTATACGCTAATTGGATGCAGGTGACATGTCTCTCCTTTTCAATTTCTCTTATCGCAGGTTTGATTGGATGGAATTCACACACTTGGATCGAAGGATTTGTGATGTGAGTATATTTGTTCAGAAATACACATTTAAATTTGGTTAGTTTCTCCACACACACACACACACACACACACACACACACACACACACACATGCATAGAACTTTAGCATGTTCTTTTCTTCACGTAATTGTGTTAATAACAGGTAAATCATAACTTTGTGTACTGATGGATGCATAACATAATACGAGTACTTGTTACTTGAGTTTTGTTGACATTCCTTCTCCATGATGTTGTCCTGTCTTAAGTTGAGTTAGGTCAGTGGGTTAGAATATTAGTTGCATACCAGCAAAAATAAAAATCTTATTTGCACATCCATTATAACAAAGCATGTCAATATGCCAATATGTATAAAAGAAAACTCTTGGTCTGGTGGTACGGTATTTGTGTTGCTCCATTTGTTATGATTAATTCTGTTTGAAAAAAAGCATATGTTAATTTCAAGTTTTGAACTAAGCGTTACAGATATAATAATGGGCATGGACAAACTTAAACGTCAAGATTTTTTAAAGAATGTCAAGAATTAATAGCAAACTATCAGCCAGTTACCAATGCAACAATATATTATATTTTGGATTGACAAAATTATTTATTTTGAGCATGCCTGCAATTCTAATATCCATATGCTGAAATTTTATACTCGCTAAAACTTTAAACCTTCAATATTCTTCTGCATGTTTGCTTGGAATTATACTGGTCCATTAGAGCATCTTAGTTCTCATAAAATACAATATTTATTTTCTAGATATCTATTGATGGTATTCCTATATGTATGCAGATCATTAGTTGTCACATTGATTGGGTATGATCTACAAATTTGATCTGGGAATGAATGGCTATGTACTGGTTATGCCGATAGGATGATAAAGGTTCAGTGTATAGCCTGCATTCCTGTCTTGCAAGTTTAAGTTGAATTCATGTAGTAGTTATCACAACATGTATTGGCACTATTAATTTCTTAGAGTCTTGTCTTTACAGGTGTCTGCAATTTGTGTTGTTTTATGCATCTATTTGTATGATGCAATATGTTCCAGTTTTGGGAATCTTGTTGGACTTAGTTGGACAACTATTGTGATGTTGATGCACAAATACCATAATTTACTATTATCCGAATTGCTTTAGGCAAGGAAGAAGGTGGATGGAGCGCTGAGGAATATGATAAGGAAGGGGTCGGATGAGAGAGGAGAGAAGAGTAGGGTGAAGGACGAGATGGAGGGAAAGAGGGACAAGGACATGGTGAATGGAGTTTCTTGAGGCGGAGGGTGGGGGCTTCTCGGAGGAGGAGATGTTGGACTTCTCCTTGTTGCTGCCTTGCTGGGTAGGGGCCAGTCTGTCCTCATGAGGTTGTTGTGAAATTCCTCACCGAGACTTCAGTGATGCTGGGACAACTCAAGCATGAAATGTTATGGTAGTTTGTTTGGGAAATTGTAAATTCTTGTGCATGTGTGGTAGAGTACATTGGAAAATAAGGTCGGGCAGTGGGAGGATTTGTCAACCAGTTTCATACTCTTATTATAATTGGGGGTTAGGTTAGCATTTTGTACAGCAGCTCACGTCTAAAAGAAAATTTTAAGGTGCTGGCTTGTTATCCCATTTTTCATTAGCACATTGAACCAAATGCAAGTGCAAGCTTATTTTCGTTAAGTTTGCTCTTTCATTGTTCCTGGTTCTCCTTTTGCTAGGACGACAGTTTATGGAATATTTACTAGCTATATTTTGAATGGGAGTTGGTGGTCAGCAGTGGCGGTGGTGTCACATGTTCTCATTTGAAAAATGGATGATAGTAATCATATAGAATTGGAAGCGTCTCAAAGTAATTTTTATGTAGCTTTGTTCCTATATCCAGAACTGTCTTTGTAGGAAAATATTACTGATCAGGATTAAAATCCACTACAAAAATCATCTGATAAATATTTACTAATTTTAATATACGAGGTAGATTTGAGGGACGAGAGATTAGAGCAATATCACGCCCACGACAAGGCCGGGGGACAGGGCGGGTGTATATGATGCCTCGACCTCTTGTGTAGGGCGGCTTAGATACAATGGAGGCGGTGTAATATGCATGAGCGGCACGAGGAATCTCAAGGTACATGTTTAACTTGATCTGTGTTGATGCACTTGAATATTTATGTGTTGCAACATGTACGGGCAATGACCCAGGAGACATCGGATCCGCTTTCTTAACTCAGGAGGTGTCACGAGTGGCGCATGCCTCCTCCCCTTTGATGGCGGTGGTGGATCGACACAAACATGGGGGGAGGGATCGGAGCGGGGCGGTTGGCAGGGACTCCTCCTTGGCTGTCCTTTGGGAAGTACGTTGTGAAGGAGAGAGGGCGCCATGGCCAAGATGAGGTGGGTGTATCCCTATTTTAAAGGAGAGGACTCCAGCGAAAAATGTCCCGCTACAGCGGGAAACCGAGCCGGAAAAGGTGGGTCCAGCATACAAAAGGGAAGGATGCATCGTGGGGTGGGTTTTTTGTGTTGGGACCGCGTGTTGTAGATAACATGGCAGATAGTCCGGATAACCACATTTCTCCATCACATATGGGCTGGATTTGGGGAAGCCCGGATTGTCCATACGGTTGAATTTTGGGGAGCTCGTTGAGCGTCTGTTTGATATCCGAACATACCCGGACGTATGAGGGAGAAATGAACTTCGACCTTGAAGACCGTCCTTAGCCCGTAGCAACGCACGGGCATTCTACTAGTAAACATCAGGTTAGCTAAAGTACATGTTGAACTTGACAAGTTGACATGAACAAAGAATATGGATGTTACATTCATCATCGGAAGAAGAATTTTCATCATCTAGCTCAACCACTTCTGCCTTTCTCTTATTACCTACAACAACTACAACAACATGTTAGCTATAAACTCTAAAGTAGATAGCATGAAGAAAGAAACAAAGTAAGTTAAACTATATACCATCTTTCTTCTCCAATTTGCAGCGATACCAATCTTGCAAACACATCAAGGCCTCAATTGTGTTTGGTTTAAGTGAGGCTCGGCTCGGCTCGGGTTTATAACCTTCTTACTCAAGCTGAAAGCAGATTATGATGCAGCACTTGACACGGGAACAGCAAGGATATCATGTGCCAATCTTGCTAGCTGCGGATACCTAGTTGTAGACTTGCTCCAGTAATCCAAGATATCAATGTTCTCATTCAACCTCTTGGTAGGTTTAGCCAAGTACAATTCCAATTCAGATTTCTCTTCAAATGTGCTCGTGCTTTCCACATACTGATCATAGTCAGAAAAGGCACCAAGTCCACAGGTGCTTGACATACTAGTTTTACATAAGCAACTCGATCTGTTTCCCCCGGGAAAAAAACTCAATCTGTTTCCATATCATTTTGCAACTTCCAGCCCAAAACTGAACAAATTCAAGTTCAAAATGTTATATGAGATTGAGAATCAGCTGTAACCCGGCGATGAAGCCAGGTTAGGATTACTGTATAACAGACAGGCATCGTGTTGGATAGGCATACAGATGATCTTGTATCGCCTCAATCCTTTCAGGAAAGCAATTCAATTAATCATGATGCATGCATGGGGTCCTTGGGGAATTTCGGGTGCCGCGTTTCTTTCTGCTGGTGGATTCATGTTGTGTCGTTCAGATGTTTATTCGTACAGGGATCCGTTGCCGCTGGCTTGTACTCTTAATTATTCATACAGGGTTAATGGGAACATGGCTACAGGGTTAATCGGAACATGGCTGTCGTTTGGCAGAAGGAAGCTTTTGTAATGTGTACTACTATGACACAACAAAGACTCAATGATTTGACCATAATAGCACTTGAGAGCCAAGTGTTCGAGAAGATTGATTACGAGGATATCATTGCAAAGAGCACTAAAAGAATGATGTTGTTCAAATAAATATTATGCAACCAGAGTTGAATAGGAATGATTTTCTATATATCCAATTGTTATGTAAAACATTTACATTATATTTTCTTGTGAGGTATATATACATTATAATTGCTCGTCAGTTCATTTTTTCTAGTGAGACAGGGTCCCATTTTTTAGTTTCGTACAGGGCCTTAGATTTTGCCGGCCCGACCCTGGGCCATACTATATGGTTAGACTCTGTAATGCTGCTGAGATGTATATTTAGATATTTATTTGGCTCCATTTATCCATCTAGGCATGATGATATCACGCCCATAATTATTTGGCTCCGGCGCAGTTGCAAGCTTGCGATGTGCGTGCATGCGTGTGATTTTATTATATAAAGACGTGTCGTGCTGTCGCGTTTGAGAGAGAGAGAGAGTTGTCATGGAGCCTGTTTGACCGGTCAACATGAAAAAATATGAACCTATACGACGGGTCAGTGACTGTATAATTAATCATCTAGATTTGTATATAGTGATCGTATTGATCAAGTTTTTATGTACGATGACCAAAGTGAGCTCGCGGGGCAAGTTCGAGTACCATGGATGAATTTTACTCATAATAAAACATGTGATGCATGCGGCCTCATATGTCTTATACTTGCCAGTTGTTTCCTTCCTTGGCTAGCCCTTGTGGCCCTTTAAGTATCGTAGTTTGTCTTGCTCGGATCATGGAAAAATTGTGCTTCATAGTACTTCTGTTTTTAACCTGTACTAAGGGGACGGCTCATACCCCGCGCCGTCGCTGCCTAGGGGCGACTCGGTGGTTCCCCACAAACCCTAGGCACCATCGCCAGAGGAAGCCACCAGGCGAAGGCTGGGCGACCAATGGCAGTGATGAGGACCTTTCTCAAGGCACCTCGGGACCTGCGGCCGGCGCGGTGCTCCGATGCGTGTGGCGACGGGGCTTGGTGAGCGGTGGTTTGGCGTGCGGCGGCTGGTGGTGTGTTTGCGGCTTGTGGCTCGGCCAGCTCATGGGTGGTGTCCAACCCTGTCTTGCCCGACGCGCTGCAGGACGGATTGTTCGGCTGCAAGAGATGGATAGTGAAAGCCATGCTCAATTTTTTTCTAGGCCGATGATGGTGGCACCTTTGGGCACCGTTATCTATTTGAAGGTGTCGTCACTGCCGTTGTCGCCTACTTGTTTGCTGCTCCGGGGGAAACCCTAGGTCTGAGTGATCTCGGATCGGCCGAAGACATCAATGTTGTCATTTTTCTGTCTTGAGAGCATCATCTTGGAGCTTCTTTGGTAGGGGGATAGTGGATGATGGCAGGT